CGCACTGGATTTAGTGAACGACATTTGAAGGATGGTCAAAATTGGGATTCCTTTTGAAAGAAGAAATCACTAATGAGTTAGTATTTCAAGCTTCTTGACATTTGGATACAATTAAAACTCGGCTGAGAAGGACTGAATATCAATTTTGGGCATACTGTACTGAGGAAAAGTATCACCACATCATCGGATAGAGAAGCCGATTGAATGTTTGGTGGGTAAAAAGTCAACGTTTTGTGTCTTTTAACATTAGAAAGGCGTTGAAGGAATTAATATTTCGATCTAATATGTCAGGATGCAAAGGTCACATTATCGTCATACTCGTTCGTGCACCGCACCATTTTTAAGTGGTCTGCATACGTGCAAACAGTTCTAAGTTTGCAGGATTTAATGAATCCATACGCCAAGTGATGAAAATCACGCGTGCAGATTGTCGGTGAAGGGTCTCAATTCAATTTTTTTAAATTAAATCTCGGCAGTTCCTGGAATCGTTTCACACCAGCATGTATGGTGTTTACGCTGCGGGTTCCAAAGTTAAGGGAGAAGAATGACTATCAGGTCGAAACATGAACATTTCGTCCAATTCAAAGGGTGAGTATGCGGGAAGGCAATCGCTGAAGGCTTGCGACACTTAAACACGGGAATCACGTGGCGCCGGGGGGGAGGGGGGAGAAGACAAACAGCGCTTCCGCCCTCACACACACGCCCCATATTGATGTCACCCGCAAAATCGTCAAAAAGCGCTTTTGTGATTCCTTGATAAAGGTTAGGCAAGGCGTAGGCATAGCTTTATCTCTGCTCATGCCTTAGCATCAGAAAATGGACATCAAGCAAAGACGGAGACTGAACAATAAGCTTGAACAAATTTGAGTGAATAGTGGTCAGGACAATGAGTGCGGAGGCAAGCATTTTAGCCGTCGTAAACGGTCTTTTAGTTCGTGTTTTTGGGAGAACAAATGACAAGTTCACTTGCGAAGTCAAAAAAATGAAGTTTAGAGCTGAAATTGTTTTATGAAAGGATCTCTCAATGATTAGTTTCGGAAAAAAATAGTCCATCAAAAGTGAAGCAATCGCTTTCCATTCATGATTCAATTTCTAATTTATCGGTTGATGAGAAGCTGCATTCTTGACAAAAATCCATAAAAACAGAATTTCATAAGAGATGACAATGTAGGTCAAAGTAAGGTTGGCATTGTAAGCACATTTCTTCCCATCTTTCAGCAGTATTGGGTGATCATTAACTCACCGATTTTAACACTAAACCAAAAATACAGAATGCGCTTCTCTACCGACCTTTGCCAGGCGGCGGAGGCTCTTTAATAGTCCATCTCATTTGCTGTTACAGGAGCTCACTTGCCCTCGGTTCAAGCAAAATCGACTTTGTACAGTGTCTGCAATTTATGAAACTTATGAAAAGCATAAAAGTAGGTGTGCCCTCCACTTTGAAAATGCATGACTTTCGACGCTAAACTCAAAGCAGATATCCAATTTGAAACTCATGCGATACTTCCATCCAGGTTGCTGAAAAACTCGCCTTGAGCGGGATACTGATGAGACACCTTCTTTATTGGTGACACTGAACTGTAGTCGGACTTATGCAAAATAATTGTGAGCATAAAAATTATCTCCTCGAATCTTTTGATACGATTCGCCTTAGGAGAGCACACAACGTGATTCCACTCATGACAGCCAGAATAGCTGCCAGTCCCAATGAAACGGGCACCAGCCTGAATGCATAAAACTTTGAAGAGACCAATAAGACAAAAGGGGCATTTTGATGATTTACATACCTCCCTGAACTAGCCATTGAATGAAAGCCTCAGAGGCAGGATCGTTGAAGACGGCAACATAAGAGAGACGTCCACGAAAGGCGTTTAACGGACCCCATTGGAGCTGTTCTCCACCAATGCTGACTTGTTGCAGACCGGGAAGCTTCTTGGACGTCACACTACGACTACCGATACCAAGACTGGACCACACCCCAGACCCCTTTCCCTTGCTTGGCTTTGCATCCAAAGCTTTGGGTGGTAGCCTCAATATGAGCCCAGAGTAGCAGGTCTCCTCGACCCATAATGGACAGCCTCCATAATGGAACAGAAGAAGGTCCTGAGAAGAGTATTATTAAAACCTGCGTTCATTTGTTGAAATCCAAGTATATTACTAGCTCGATATTTTGATGTGATTCGAGTACGCATTAGTACTATAGACGGATGCTAGAAACCCTATTCGTGTGGTAACTGTGAGGAGACACAAATTTCTAGCCATAATGTAGTTCGATGTACGCACTCATACTCCATGATGAAGTGCTCACCACACCACGGGTGGATTTAAATGTCTAGTGCCAATTTGCCTTTCTCGACAGTTTCGCTCATTGCATGCATGGCCATTATATTGCAGTGGCGTTCACAAAACTTCTTCAATTAAATTCGTGTACCTATAAGGTCTCCAACATGATACTTTAAGTGCTACAGTTTAATAATCAAACCATTCAAATTGGGCACACAAATGATGACGGAATCCATTCCGATAGATGGTGTGTGGTCATTTAGTTAATTCAAACAATCGAACTGGAGGTGGACCTACTTCCTTGATGGTGGGATATCGGAATTCTCCCTCAAATACTCGATTAACATTCACATAGACGGTGAGCGTAGGTCTTGCGAAGAAACCCTTGCTGTTTGAAAACACAAAGGAAAGAGCTGTCCACTTGTTGCAGGGAATGAGCGAGGGACTGCAGACCTGAAAGTTCAAGTGCTATTGATGGATTTGCAGTTTGTTGATGCACAGTAAAAAGTATCTAGCAACAGTCTCAAATTCGCTATTTATTCGCCTCATGGTGTCAAATGTAAAACAGGTATCCGTAATTCATTTTTGCATCAATTCACGACTGGGTATGATCAACCGATGGATTGTAAAAACGAACACACTCCTTTTTTGTTCCAACTCGTGTAGCCACTATTCTCAATCATCCCTCATTGATAGTCACAATGAAACCATTTTCCACGGCTATTAAAAAGAATACAGAAACGAGGCCCAGGTGCACAAAAATAGTGGAACGAACACCATTAAGAGGCAATATGTCATTCAGGACATCCTCAAATATTCATGAT